TAAATGCATTCTTTAATTACTTTACCCTAAATTTTATTAATCCAATGAAAAGCACCTTACTTCTACTGTTATTATCAATACGTGTAAATTGAATTTACTATCTGTTGGTGTTATTTTCTTTACTTCTAGACGGTGGATACTCCTAGGAGTTCAAGTCGGATGTCTGTAGTAAGTCGCGCTTCTAGGAATTCTCCATCAAAAGAAAAGAAACTACTGGAGCAATTAATAATTCAGGACTCCGAACAGGCTGCAAGGTAGGTTAATTTCCGTGTTCAGTGTCCCGTTTTGAGCCAAACATTTTCATAGTGGCATTGAGCAAGTACTCGTCTACGTCATTAATTAACATCAGACCAATAGGAAATTGTTTATATCAAATGGAAGGCTTTATGATAGTTTATCATTAACCCTTTAATTGACTTCAGGCTTCACAGAGGGGAGGAACATCAAAGTGAAAAAAAGGTTGAGAGGGGCGGAGTGGAACAGATGAGTGTTTTAAAGATGTAAAGGAGACAGACACAAAGGTAGAGAAAAAGGTGTGATAAGTACTGCGGAAGGGGTCGAATATGACAACCAGTCGGACCATGGTAGTTTGAAGTCAGAAGTCAACTGACAGTTAATAGACTTTTTTGCCGTATGAGTATACGTTGCTCAGGGTGCACCACGTGGAGGTAAGTCTATCGCACACCCCTATTATTACTAGTATTATTATATATTTATTTATAAGTAGTAAATGCAAAATATTACGAATAGCGAGTTTCGATAGGCAGCTCAGCACGTCTAATCAGGACCCTTTCTTATGGTCACATGGTAGAAAGGTTTAACTATCTTGGTAATCTACAATTTTAGTGGACTTTGACCTAGTTGTTTAGCCTTCCCAATTTAGCTTTTTATTCTGTTAGGCCTCCTCTTTGGGGTTACTAAGACTGCTCTAGATTCAGATATAAAAGCGAGGAGTGATACTGAAATATCAATTTATTGACATAACAATGGCCGCTTTTATCAATACAAATCCCATTAAAAATTGAGTGGTATAATTATCACCAGATCAATTATGTGTTCAATTCTTCTTGCCCATATCAACTGTCAAGTTGTTAGGAGATAAAGCCAGCACATGGTGACCACCTGCGGGATAGGATTTGTTCTCCCTAGCCAAGTAATGGATTTTACTATATAGGCAATCTACTTTCTTTAAGTTAAAAATAGGGGCGCGGAGGGATATTGAGGTCTACTTTTACCATTTCAGTTTGCATTGAAATATTAGAGCTCTTGAAACTGGTGGACACCTTATTAACATACAATGGATAGGTGAAACATTCCTTAACGTATTCTTGCTCAGAACTAGGCGTAAACAACATGAATGGGTAGGCCTCATCTATATCAACTCATACTCACCTTGATGTCAAAACAAATGGAATCTTTTATATAAAAAACTTCTCCAATTCAGGATTAGTGAATTCAAAAAAGAGCATCGCATAATCTGTCAATTTTTGAGCACATGGGACCCCAAAACCCATGAACAGACCTCCAACAAACCCCATCAGCAACCAATCAACCTGGATTTGAGTGACCCAACTTCAAGTACAAAGTCCCAAGAAGAGCCGATTGGAATTCCACATTTTTCCATTCAATCGAGGTTAGACTGTGAGCTTAATGACACAATGACTGAACCAATTGCTATCAAAAATGGTGAGGTTATCAGGGAGAAGCCAAACATGGCGGTTGTTGTTGATAAACTACTATCAAATCTACCTAGTCATGAGGAGATTAAACAGGCTCTTGGATATGGCCCACTTGAATTTAGTATTCCAGATCCAATTACGTACGAGGTGGTTAGAAAACCTTCAAGGAGCGATGAACGTGAAAAGAAAACGATCTTTACCATTGTAAAGCCAACAGGACTAATTAAAACTATGGGGGTAAATGCATTCTTTAATTACTTTACCCTAAATTTTATTAATCCAATGAAAAGCACCTTACTTCTACTGTTATTATCAATACGTGTAAATTGAATTTACTATCTGTTGGTGTTATTTTCTTTACTTCTAGACGGTGGATACTCCTAGGAGTTCAAGTCGGATGTCTGTAGTAAGTCGCGCTTCTAGGAATTCTCCATCAAAAGAAAAGAAACTACTGGAGCAATTAATAATTCAGGACTCCGAACAGGCTGCAAGGTAGGTTAATTTCCGTGTTCAGTGTCCCGTTTTGAGCCAAACATTTTCATAGTGGCATTGAGCAAGTACTCGTCTACGTCATTAATTAACATCAGACCAATAGGAAATTGTTTATATCAAATGGAAGGCTTTATGATAGTTTATCATTAACCCTTTAATTGACTTCAGGCTTCACAGAGGGGAGGAACATCAAAGTGAAAAAAAGGTTGAGAGGGGCGGAGTGGAACAGATGAGTGTTTTAAAGATGTAAAGGAGACAGACACAAAGGTAGATGAAAGGTGAGGTTACTTCTGTGGAAGTAGTCGAGTATGACATACAGTGGGGTGATAGTAGTTTGAAGTCAGAAGTCAACTGCCGGTAAAAAGACTTTTTTGCCGTATGAGTATACATTGCCCAGGGTGCACCAAGTGGAAGTAAGTCTATCGCACACCCCAAATGGTGGAGCACCCGGATAACGATCCCAGCACCTCTCACATGCCATCAATAAACATCAGACCAATGGGAAATTGCTGAGTTAATGAAGGGTATTGGTGCATTGGTCTGCTTCAACTGTTGACAAACATAGGCTAGCGGGCATAAGGTCAAAGTAAACTTCATAGCATTACAACCATACAATGGGAGTTTAAGTTGCAATAAAGGCAATACTGTTGGTAGCTATTAGTTGCATTTCGAAAGAAACTTAACTTGTCTGCTAAATCAACTTATGTAAATTAATTACTTTGAATCCTTGCAATTTCGAAAGCTATCGTTGGATTGTGCCTGCAAACGACCGAATTGAGCTCACAATTCGATTCAATCCTCCAAAACAGGGAATCTTCAAGGACATTCTCAAATTCATGCTTGCGAGAACAAATTCTTGCATGGAAATTGAGTGCCAAGGCTACTGTCAAGCACCAAGACTTATTGTGGATCCGAAGTAAATAGTTTATTTACTCATTTAAAATGTTTAAGTTGTGTATTTTCAAGCGTTGAAGCCAGATGCCCATCCGATAAATTTCTAAGGAAGTCGTACATCTTGGAGCGCAACCGCTTTGAATTCGGAACTCTGCTGGCTTCAAAATCTCGTGAAAAGTGAGTTTGGCAAATTGCAACGTTCTGTGTGTACATTTAACTGAAACAAACGCTACTTGAATACTTTTAGAATTCTGATAGGTGAATACAAAGAGAACATCGCGCAATTACAATTTAAAAATGAGGGTCTTCATGATGTTGAAGTTGCTTTTGACTTTGGGGAAAATGAAGGTGGCAATTTTGCGGTAGCTCCATCAGAATTAAGCATTCTTAAAAATGAAACCAAATCAATATCAGTTTTCGCGCTTCCAAATTCCGTATCACCTGTAACAAGTACGCTTATTGGTAGGATCGAGAACAACCCAGAACCAATCCTTTTCCACTTTTCTGCGGAGGGAGTTTTGCCTGATCTCTCGTTCCAAACAAGGGCTGTTGACTTTGGAAGGTTGCCCCTTAATTATACCAAAAGGCAGACCGTGCAAATTTCTAATCCCACAGCAATACCAATTTCATGGAAAATTGAAAAGATTGGGGCTGCAAAAAACGCGGAATTAGAAGTCTATCCTTCTTCTGGAACACTCAAATTTCTTAATGAAAAAGCAAGTGTCACTGTAGAATATACCTCACCTTCGATTCCAGAAGCGGTATCGATAAAGGAGGCTTTCCGATTTACTGTAACAGATATCAGAGAATTGTGTGATTCAATAGTAATAAAACCGTATATCAGTGTCCAGGCGGAAGCGGTGAATCCCAATTTTGAAATAGGTCGGCTGAATGGTTTGTTAGTAATATAGGTTAACTTTTATGCCATTTATAGAAGATGGAATCGATTTTGGTCTCTTGAAATTTGGCGACAAGGTGAAGAAATCGATAGAACTTAGAAATGGAGGCCCATTTAAATTGCGCTATAAGTAAGACCACTTAATTGTAATTTTATTATTTATTTATTTATTTTTGGCTTTCAGAATAGTTAATTTATGTTTGCTATTTGTTTATTTAGATTTGTCCACACTCAACTGCAAAATTTTCAATGTCCCTTTGAGCTTAGTTCCGACTCAGGAAACCTTCCACCGGGGCAGAATATTTCAATCACAGTATGAGTTTTTTCATAATAATTTGCTTTTACTAGATCACTTGTGTCGCATCGCAAGAGGTGGATATAAACAACCAAGTATTTGCGTGTGTAGTCGAGACATATCGGGAAATTCCGATCGCTTCTGTGCCGATCCTCATAAAAGCTCAGATACGCCGTAGTCAGTAAGTCTGATTGTTATTTGAAGTTTATTTATTTATTTATTTCAAATGGCAGGCATTTTGATAGTTATCATTAGCCATTTAGCTGACTTCAGGCTTCACAGAGGGGAAGGAACATCAAAGTAGAAGAAAATCGAGGGGTGGGGTACAGAAGAGCGATTCACCGATGTAAAAGAGGCAGACAGACACAAAGGTAGAGAAAAAGGTAAGATGTGTACTATGACAAGCAGTCGGGCCATGGTGTTTTGAAGTCAGAAGTCAACTGAAGGTTAATAGACTTTTTTGCCGTATGAGTAAACGTTTCCCAGGGTGCATCACCAATTTATTTTATTTCATGTATTTAATCATTCTTTTAGGTTTAGACTAATCCCTTCAAAAGTGATGGCCTTTGGCGCCATAGCAACCAATACAAAAATCTCAGAATTGTTGACCATAGAAAATATTGGTCCATTTGACTTGCGCTATTTC